AAGATCAGAGAAAAGAGGGATAAGAGGATGCATCTCACATGTCAAACTCCTTTAGCTAAATTTCATATCATTAATTAGATTAAAAATCAGTCTTACTCATGAAACGAAATTTCATCAGTCATGACTTTTTACCTGCTGGAGATTGGTGGTTAAGTGCCCACATCCATTGGATGACTTTGAATCGGCCAAGCAAGCAAGTGAAGATGCAACAACCATCTCAGACTGCAGAAAGATGACAAACAAGTCAATGACTTTTGACGAAAGTGAAAAGAAACCAGGATCCAAGGAATTGTGAAGTGAAATCTGCACCTCCATGTAACCCATGGATAGTCTTTTTGCATAATCATTGGCCACGTGCTGCTTCTCTGTACCAGTAACAGCATCATGATGTTGAGCAATAGCCAAAGCATCTGCCAATGAGTCTGTATTGGGCCCTGAATCACTTCTCCCTTTGAAAAATTCGAGTTGCCTTGCAGCCTACTCATACATTCACAGATATGAACCATATGTGTAAATGAAAGAGATTAATTGAACTATTAATTATAATGAATTTAAACAGTCAAAGAACAGTACCAGATAGTAGCCACTCATTATTCTAACATAGTGTTTTAAAGCTGGTCTACTTGTAAAGTATCCTGTCCAGTAAGCATTTGCACGGTCTGCGTAACTGGTAAGAAATACACTTCAATTTCTAAGAAAAGAACAAGTGAGAAAACTAAGATTTAGAGCTACTCAAGCAATAAACTCACGGAAAGTAGTCATCAGTCTTGAGGGGCCAAGATTTACTCATAGCATATTTAGCATCAGTATATATAGATGGAGTCGAGTAGAGAGCGTTGACACGTCCATCCTGCAAGCATTCATTTAAAACTACTTATGGTTCAGATTACAACATGACATCTAGAGAGGATAAAAAACCATGAGGTAATGCAAGCTTAAAATCCAGTCACCAGAAAATGAAATAAAACTGAGATGAGCACTCACCTTATTCACATAATGAATAAGCTTATCCATCTGCCGAAACCAAGTGTGTGCATACTGATACTTAAAATCTGTTCCCATGGTCCACATTATGTGATTTGTTCTAGTTATGTTCGCCTGCAAATGAAATAACAGCTTTTACAATAAGTATCAAATGAAGACTTGCTTTCAGGACTAATATGGACAATTAAATAGAAGATATGAATTCTTGAAGTTAAAAGACAACATAGTTTTCAAATATTTTGAAAATTCACCAAAATTCTGTGACAGACTAGAAAACCAGGAAGATCTTATTAAATACTGTATAGTTTTGAAAGGATAAGGATATTCTGTTCCTCCTGAAAATGGCAAAAGATACAATTTATTGCAAAATGCAAACTTGTGGTGCAATCGGTACTTTGGTAGATACTAAGTTGCAACTTCTTCTAAGTGAGGTCATACTTATAATGATTATCTTCAAGATTGTATCTAATAGCAGGACCTTTGCCAAAACCAAATAGCACAAGAAGCAGAAAGGAGACATTTTAAAAAGGAACAGTAAGAACAATAGCACGAGAAGAGAAAGCAAAGAACTTAACAGAGTCCTGTATAGAGCCAAATTTCCAAAAGAGAGATAGGGAGGAAACCAAGATAGAAAATTTAAATGGCAACTTAATTTCATTTACCTGTGATATTGCAGCGGCAACAAAGTCATTCACTCTGTCTTGAACATTGTAATCAAACAAATCGATATCATCCTACATCAGAGGGAACCAAATTTACACTAGAACCACGTACATATTCAAGAGACTGTCTAAACTGACATCATTTTTACGCAGCTTACCTGAACAATAGGGGAATCATCATTAACTTCGAAGTAGAAACCTGGTGGAGGTTCATAATTTTTTGGAAATGCTCCAGCAAAAATCTGCAATACAACTAAGTTCAAGTGAACACTAACAGAAGAATAACATATAATGATATACCTACCCAACCATATTTTGAATAGGCAAACAAATCAGTAAATGCAACAATATAATCATAATGTTGATGTACAACATGTGATATCCAAGGGTAATCATGTAAACGCCAAGTACAACTAAACCAAACAACACTGTTTACCTGAGCAGATGAGCCCAGGCTCTTAGAACCCCGCCAGATAACTTCGAGGCTCTTCTCTTTTTTTCGCTTAATCCTGTCTTGGTAGTCTATGCGGCCGAAGAAAAATGAGTCAAATCCAACCTACAAAAACAGTAACACAATACTATCAAAATTATACTGCTTGAAAGTGAAAAACGCTAAATTCAGGAGGCAACGTAGAAGCAGAAGTTATAGATACACTTACTTCTGCTCCCAATAAGTAAGCCTGTACTGCAGAATGTCCAAAAGGATCAATTTGCCATCCAATTCTTGGAATGACACCAAACTCCTCTTTGATGAATCGATGTCCAAGAGTTGTCTGATCAATCATGTCTATGTAATGTGGCGCTGCCTCATCATGCATGCACATGCCTCCATTTCTGGAAGAAGCAGATGAAGAGAATGCGGGTAAGTACAAATTCAAAATTGGGAAATAATAGCAAAGAACTAGTGTTAAAACATGCAACTAAATGAGTTCTCAGAAATGTGGAAGGCTTTTATATATATTATGGAGAAACCCAATCATAAATACTAGTGTGCAACCATTGCTGTTTGCATTTATCTCTCTTTTCTTTTTACACTTTTTTGGGGAGGGGGGTTAGAAAAGGGTTGATGTCACGTATTACATGAACTCTAGTTGCCCCGAGCTGACAAGTTTCTTGACTATACTCTGCATTAGCTCACTTTGATCTCTCCACCATCGCTGAAAAAATGCCTGCATAAATCACGGAAGACAATTTCAAGATGACATAAGACAACTAGAGACACAAAAAATGCAAACACAAAAAACAAAAAAAAAAGTTATGCACTATGGTTTCCATAAACGCCACATATTGGTAGTACAATTGGGCACAACCGCCAAAATTGTTTAACGCAGCGCTTTCAGACAAGCAATAATTGGAAGTCGGGCTTCATACTAAAGACACAGACATACAGACAGAATTTGAGATTTCATTCTTTCCTCCAAATGCTTTTCGAAACCAAAGACTACGCAATGGATGATCAAAAAGACAGAAATAAGAGACATATATACTTGCCTGTTCAACATATATGAATTTCCGGTTTTTGTCAGCCAACAGAGCAGGCACTATAGAATCCAACACATTCTGCACACAAGCCCCCTAAAAAGCCAACAAAAACACACAAACAAAGCAGGAAATTACAAAAAAGAAAAATCGTTTAAGAGAGAGTGGAAGGAGAAAGAGCAACCTGGATAGAATTGTTAGAGCCAACATAGTACTGATCAACGGTTTTTAACCAACCAACATCGTCATGGGTGTGAGGAACCAGATGAACATTGATTTTCCCAGCAACTATACCTGCTGAAGTGTTATAAACCATGTACTTGGATTCTGCGCATAAAATCCCCAATAATAGCACCACACCGTACAACCCAACAATCCCCATTTTGGCAGTTTTACTTGTTTCTTGAATCTGCGTATTTGAGATTCCAGCAGTTCTCACTCGTTGGTGTTGAAGCAGTAGCAGTTGGTTTGAGTCAGAACCAGAGAATCAAAGTCATGATGATTCATAACAAGGTTTGGCTTCAAGTGACCAAGGCTTTCGACAGATGTCTGTCTTCAGATGTCGTAAAAAAGGAAGGCAAAGATTTTAGTCAATTTATAACAGACAGGCTAACTGGTACGGGAAAGAGGAAGACTCGCACAAATGTTTGTGCAGCAGATGGAAACTGCCATTCTTTGTTTTGACTTCCTTATTAGTAACAGTTAGCACAAGTGTACTTCTTATCCAAAAGTGTTGAAATGGATTTTAAAAAGGAAAAAAGAAAAGACTCCTTTATCATACTTTCAAGCTCCTTTAATGGATTGACATTAAAAAAATATTACAGAGTGGTACTGCTCTGCTTGTCGATAAAGCATGGATATTTCATTTGTTTCTGCAACCTTTTCTGCTTTCCTTGCACCCTTTTTACTTATTCTGGTGTAAAAGGAACGAAAACACTTTGGGTTGGGGCCATAATCTGGATCTTCAAGTGCACTTGAAAAGTTTTGCTTGGCTTAGAAGGGGGAGGAGAATGGGGTTTTGGAATCATTGGATTTGCACTCAAGTCACCAAAACTTGCAAATTTAGTGGAAAGAAAGAAGGGGAGGTATGATTTATCATAATCCACTCACCAAATTCACTGTAAATTACTCAAAGTTGTGGTAGGTGTAGATATTTGGTCATTACCTAATTTCTTTAAGATTGCTTTACAGGGTAATGTAATACAAATACTTTATATGAACAGCAGTGAAAGTAATTTGAAATGCTAGAGTGCATTAATTACTTTCATTTCAAGACTCTTTTTTGTACATACAAATATTTTCTCTCTCAATCTTACCTTATTCTCTTAGACATGTTCACTCACACTTCTTTCTTTGTTCTTATATAATTTTTTTCATATATTTCTTCTCTAGTCATAGAACCTATTTCTTCAATATTTTCGTAATGAATTTTTAACCAACGTTCAATATCTGTTACCCAACATTAAAATTCTTTTTAATAACGTTATTTATGACCTGCATTAAAATTTATTCTTCAGCATTGTCAGTTTCGATACTACATATAAAACTTTCACAATTTATTTAAGAACTTTTTCAAACTAAAAGCTTTCTCGCCTTAAAAACTTTCCTCTAATTCTCTACTACTCATTAATTTTCAACCCCTTTACCATTGGTAAAGATGTATATGCACGGCATTGTGCAACAAATGAATCAAACTCTTGCTCATGTGACATGCAGCAAGCTTGTTGCAAGGCAAGCAAATGCCTCAAGAACAGCCAACTTCAATCTCTTGATAAGAGATTCCTTCAAGTATTTCGTATCAGCATTTGGCTATCTCCTCACCGGTATAATACTCAGATTTCTTCTTTTGCCAGTAAGTTATATGCTCATGGATGCTTTGTATAAATGCAGAAATGAACTACTATTTATTTTTTTTCTGCTGTTTTCTTTCTACATAATATACAACAGTGAGATTTGTTCATTTTAACTGCAGGGGAGAAAACAGAGGCATATGAAAAGAAAGGTTGGTGTCGCAACGCCAAAGTCTCTCTGGAACATAGATATCCCAAGCATTTCTCTTTCAAGCACCAAACACTTGGAGATAATCTACGTTGAGAAGGAAAGTTCGGATCTCCATTGGAGCGAGTTCAACCACCAGCTTTGCAGGATCAAGAGGTCCTCCCCTTACCGCCTTTGATTCTCCTTCTGCAGAGCCTTCTACTTTCCAAGCTAACCTTCTCTTTTCCATTTCAGCTCTTTCTTGGTTTGCAGACAAACTCATCTCTGTCACTTTATTTATCTGAAATGAAGTACATAGTGAGATCAAATTTATGGCATATCCAGCAGCTCATCAAGCATACTCTAGTCACAAGCCGATTGCTCTTACCTTCTTGTTTGGAAACAGCTTTTTCAGTTCAACACTTGCCAACACAGAATAATCCTTGTCCTCCCCAGTCTTTGATCAGATATCCACCAAAGCAATAAATTAGAATCTATCCCTTTCAGTTGAATATGTGGAACCACAAAATAAAGCTTCTATAAAAACCAGACAAAGGGAGGAGTACCTCATATAAGTGAGCCAACCGCAGGAGCACTTTTCCATTTTCCAGCTCCTGCAATGTTCAAAAACAGGAACAAAATTACTATCCAAAGTCAACAAAAAAGTGGCAGGCGCTTGCAAGATAATCTCACAAAATTACATCTTCAGGGACATCATCCTTCATGGGCTCATGAAGCCAGTTCGGTAACTTGTTCTTTACCTGGAGAGTTATTATGGCAACGTTATTTGGTAATGTGTAAGAGGGATCAATTCCTGAAAACGTTGAAACATGGGAGCTCATCCAATCATCGCCATCCTGCAGAAAAGAACACCAATGACCTAAGCATGGAGGCCCGATGCCACTAAATAAAGTCAAGTTTCTATACCTGTTCTGAGAAAGCTAAAAGAAGCGGAGAATATATCTCTTGGCCAACTGTGCGGCGCCACTTTGCCCCTTCCCCTATATGATCAATTTGGATATAAAATTTTCCTTGGATCTGCAAAATTCGGAATTTATTTACATTTCGCACATTTAGAACCTGGGACAAAGAACATGAATTGATAAGCAATACTTACAGTTAAACCTTCACACCCTTCAGGGACACAAACTGTCTCATTTAATACTTCACCAACACCTCTGAGGTCATCATGAATCAACCTCCTATAAATTGACAAATGTTATAGACCATGAACAAATAAGTAGTCATAAAAATACAAAGGCAAGGAAAGATGCAACAAACCTGTGGAGCATCAGCTCAATTTGACCATCCACTAAGCTGGATCCCCCCACTGACCGATCCACCAACACTGAGAGCTCTGTGCTATTGTCTTGGAGGTAGATTCCAAGATTAATCTGGAAGAAAGCAGTTTGAAAGGCAAAGAAGAAATTAAGTTCAAGTTTAACACACAAAATTTATGCATTTACCAGACTCTAGCAAGCAGAGCAGATATCCTCCATGGTTTATATTAGAGAATGGCTGAGATAAAGCTGTAATTTATAGAAAAGAAAATTTGCAATTTTCAAAGGAAGAAACATACTGGGTAATAATTTCCAGCAACTGGTTGGTTCACCTGAAGGTCCCAGTCATTCCTAAAATCTCGAATCTGCAAACATTAGATTTAACAACCATGAAGCAAAAGTAAACATCATTGCAAACAACTCAGGAGTAGAATTTCATTTAGGTGAATGAAACAGTAAATTAACAGAAAAATAAGTAGCAAGTATTCACCAAGTAGAAAAACAACACTAACAAGTTTGGCATCCATCAAACTCTGATATTAAATATCTAAAGAATTTACGCTAGTGTGTGTGTGTATACATACATACATACATACATACATACATACATATATAGTAAAAGCTGTATTCGACATGGCTTTTGGCCTTAAAGAAAGAAAAAAAAAATGCAAGACTCAGGAATTTGGTAGAATGGCAAGCAACAAGAATTAACATACCCGTTTAATGAAGTCACGTCCATTAGAATCTGTGTAGAATGTTCTGTTAGTCTTCATAGTTGTTGTAATTTGAGTAATGATTTCTTTCCCTATCCCATCATCCACAGGAATTGGCCCAATCTAAGATAATGCACATAAAGTCAGTAAATCCACCCAATTAACTTTTCAACCTTGTAATAACCACAAACAAAGACTCCATCTTGTCCTGCAAGAAATTTATGAATAAAAACTAGAAGATAGATTAACTCACGTTGAACTCAACTTCAGCATGCTCTTTTCCCTTGTATACCCTGGTGACCTGCTCATGCATGCAGCATTCTGTTACTGAAAGTAGAAGACATGAGATATTTTCGGTGCAAACAAAAACAACAAAATTCTTGTCCTTCTAATGGTAACTACATTGCACAACTTCAAAACAAAATATACCCATGAAGAAGAAATTCCCAGATGCAAGCATGGAGGTGGATATTTTTTGTACAATTTAGAGAAAAGAAAGAAAAATGGAGAAACTGACATGAACAAAGGTTAAATTTAACCAACAGGTATTCCACTAGAACATAAGTTAGAAAAACATGAAAAGAAAGTATATATAATCCCCTTTTTTAAAGTTCAGTAATCAACAAGAGACCATACATAACTGTTTCTTTGTCAATCTAGACTCTGCCTCCGAGCTTTAAGAACTTACTGTTGCACTACTCTTAGTTCCCAGCTTAAATACCATGGTTTAGAAGGATGACTTGTGAACAATAATTTCAGATGCGAGAATCAGGAAAAGCTATGAGGGCTTCATATTAGAATAAAGGTTCCAATGACAGAAATTGGTGTATCAAATGTGTTTTTAATAGGCAAATCACCTGAGATATCCATGAATTGAGCTGTTGATGTACTTCATCCAACAAGGGACCCCGCACGATAGTTAATTGAGCCTGCAACAAACAAGCCTCAGTTTTCCTTCAGAAACTCTTTTTCCACAAGTATAATAAATCAATAGAGAAGGATCATTGTTGATTGACAGAGAATTATACCAAATAAAATCAGATACCTGGCTTTCAGATTTGATGGAGAATGTACCATTTGGACGGAAAACATATGCCCCAGAAGCCTTTAACAAAATATCAAGCATTTTGCAATCAGTAAATTTAAGATGATTCTTTTTCTCCAAGTACAAACGTAATGAAAGAACAAAAATAAATTAGAAATGAAAAGTCAAAACACTAAGCACTGTTATCTAGAGATTGAACTACCTGAGGATCTTTACCAGTTCCATCATTTCCAGAGTAATAACCATATGATTGTTCAGCAACTGCCGTAACCTTCAGTGATGATCACATTAGATAAAAAGTTTGTTATCATTACAGAATCACCAATTAAAATAACATTACAACACAAGAAATGTTCCAGAGCAAGGGAAAAAAAGGGTTACAACGGAAATTGGTCATCCAAATGAAAATTGAAACACAAGTTGAACTCAAGATGCAAATCATAGTGAAAGAAATTTGAAGGAAAAAGAAAGGGAAAAATCTAATAATTATACTCACAGATGCATAACCAAATTGAAGAATAAACAGAGCTTACCAAATTTCTGCTGTTAACATAACGAGTAAGTTTTCCTTCATCTTCAGAGTACAGAAGCTTTAAACTTCCTTGGCCAACTTCAATGGTATTGTTTTTACTTCCTTCATAGGTATGCACAGTTGAGATGGTAGAACTAGGGCCTTCTCATGAAATTTTAGATAACAAGAAATAGTAGGCTCTGTTAATGACATAGAAACATAGTAGCCAAAATCTTCTGACATTAAATTAAACTAAAGCAACAAAGCCAACCTGTCTGGTCAGCAGTTCCAACAATGTAAGTGCTGAAACCAAGGGGAGGCACTGAAACTGAAAAGGCAAGCCAATATTTAACTGTTTCTCTTGGGGTTTTACCCAAATATGCTTTAACATAATGACTCCTTATGTGTGACGTGGAATTTGACAGAGGGAGAAGTTGTGATTCAATTTCTCTTCCTTCAGAATCCTTGACAATAACCCTTGCACTGGAAACCTGTCACAGGTTAAATCTCAGAGAAATACAAGTAAAAATCAAATTTCTGTCTCCAAATGATTGCAATTAGATTTTATATCAAAACGTTTGCGTCAAGACTAGATCAAATTGCAAGCGTGCAGATTGAATGATTTTCTTCACTACATTATTATTTGGAAAGTACTGCATGATCAAATTTTAGAGATGTCCAACAGTTACATCCCTTGATACCAAAAACGCCAAGAGGGAGATACTCACAGGAATTCGAATAGTTTCCTCTCTCTTCCATCCTAGAGAATTGTAGATAACAACAACCTACAATAGAGATAAGATATTAGATGATCAATCACCACGAAAGAACTGGGTCTAACCTTCTGAAATAATTAAAAGAAAATATTTGAACTAGTAATATCCTTACCAAGCTTTTTCCGTCAGACAAGGCAGCTTGTGATGGAGGACAAAAACTTATATTAAGTAAAGGACACTACAAAAAAATTGGTTAAAAAAACTCCTTCAGAAAACTCATTGTACCGAATTATATTAAAATTCAAAGCTCCGAATAAAACTAATACCAATGATATTGTTTACCTGCTGAAAGCTTGTGACACTGTTCCCTTGACCAGTACTTGACCTTGACTCTGCCAAGAAGGCAAGCGAAGAGGCAACCAACTTCTCGGCCTAAGACAAAGTAAGTGGAAAGTATTATATTTCTGACTCAACCTTTATAATGCCAGTAGATCTACAACAACATTGTTGGACTCAAAACCAGATGCACCTCCATGTATCCTATTGACAATCGCAAAGCATAATCAGCAGCCACATGCTGTCTTTCAGTGCCACTAACTGCATCATGATGTTGAGCTATTGCCAAAGCATCAGCTAATGCATCTGTATTTGGTCCCAAGCTACTCCTACCTTTAAAGAATTCCAACTGCCTAGCAGCCTGTTATAAAAACAAATAAAGCAAAACACATTCATAAAAAGGCTGCCAGAGTGTACCTTTAAAAACATAGCAACTTTTCTGAGAAAGTGACTCACCAGATAGTAAGCACTCAACACTCTGACATAACCTTTAAAGGCTGGCCTGCTTGTGAAGTAACCTGTCCAATATGCATTAGGCTTATCTGCATATCTGAAAATGAGACGATATGCTTTAGCTGCATCGCAAACTTATTGGTAAGGCAGTACCAGAATTTTGAGATCAAACTCACGGGAAGAAATCATCAGTCTTCAGGGGCCACTGCTCATTTGCTGCATATTTTGCATCAGTATAGATGGATGGTGTGGAGTACAAGGCATTGACACGCCCATCCTATAGATTCTCCAAATAAGAAAAGTTTCGTTAAATATGAATTCAACTAGAGCTCAATAGCAGTTAAAAAAAGAATGAGATGCCAAATCTCATGAGGGGAGACGTTAACACATGCCCAAATGATAACAAGAAGAAATATGAGCATGTCAAAATGAAAGAAAGATATGATTACTTTATTCATTAATCTTCATTCCTGTTCAGTAAAATTCATCAAAATCAAGTACCTGATTGACATAATGAATGAACTTGTCCATCTGTCTGAACCATGAATTTGCATATTGATAACGGAAATCTGTCCCCATGGTCCACATAATATGATTCGTTCGTGTTACATTTGCCTTAGGAAAAGAAAACGGTTAATTAAACAACTGCGTTACACATACTGTCATAGAAATTTCAGAAGGAAGCAGAATTCTTCTTTGTTCATAACGAAACCAATAAACACAAACTGTAAGATCATACCTGTGCCAGTGCAGCAGCTACAAAGTCATTGACTCGCTCTTGAACATTATAGTCAAACAGGAGAACATCATCCTTCAGTTAAAACCTTCATGTTAATATATGCATGACCAAAAAGTAGAGACAAAAGTGATACTTTAACCTTTTACAAGGTTTACCTGAATGGGCGGTGAGACATCATTTATTTCAAATGTGAAACCATCAGGCGGATCATAATGCCTGGGGAATATGCCAGTGAATATCTGCAGGTGAAATCAGAATATGAGTGATCAAACGAATGTTTGAAATATCAACAAAAGCCACCATAAAAAGAAGTAAACGTAATATTCTTTGTGCATGAAACAAAGTTTAATCAAGGAGTAAACAGAACCCAGTTCAGAAATCAAAGAGTAAGGAAGGCATGATAGATGTTAAGGCCCAAACCTGTGAGGATGAACCAAGGGACTTAGAACCCTGCCATAAAACCTCAAGAGTCTTCTCTTTTAAGCGCTTAGCTCTATCTTGATAATCAATTCGAGCAAAAAATAGAGAGTCAAATCCTAGCTGCAATAATTACAGCTCAAACATTAGACAATAATCTTTATTCTATAGAGTGTACATCACAAGTACCATAACAAGTTTCTATAAATCCATCAAAGCAGATTTCACGAACCAAACAAAAAGTGAAAACCTGTTGAAGATCTACATCTATATATACCAAATTTCCAATCCTACCTCTGCACCAAGCAAATAAGCTTGCACAGCAGAATGCCCAAAAGGATCAATCTGCCAACCAACTCTAGGGATCTGACCAAATTCATCTTTGATGTACTTGTGTCCTAAGGTTGTCTGATCAATCAAGTCAATGTAATGTGGGGTTGCCTCATCATGCATACACATACCACCATTTCTACAAAAGAAGAAAGTTTTCCAGGCAAAAAAAATTAAACACTTATAAACAAATAGCTTTCATGAAGACGATAAATTAGTCATAATTTTTTAATTTTTACTTTCATTTAAGTTGACCTAAATGCTACTATAGAAAATGATGGGAGCACAATATTTAAGCATATTACATGAACTCTAGTTGACCGGAGTCGACTAGCTCCTTCACTTTAATCTTCTTAGCATTACTCTGCTGTCTCCACCACCTTTGAAAGAAAGCCTGAAAAGGAAAACGAAACCCATTTACATGGGCAAACGAAACCCAGAAGAACGAAGGCTTCCAAAAAAAAAAAAAAACTTTAGAAAAGGAAAATTAAATTACCATCTCAACATAGATGAATTTTCTATTTTTATCTTCTAACAAAGCTGAAATGACAGAATCCAAGACGTTCTGTACACAAGCTCCCTGTTCAGACAAACGATCCATTCAACGACCTTAAAAATCATGTCCCAAATCCCAATTTAGCAAGAATCAAATACCAAAAAAAGAAAACATGCAAGAAAGAGTACCCGAATAGAATTGTTGCCACCAAAGTAGTACTGATCAACAGTCTTCAACCAACCAACATCATCATGAGAATGGGGCACCAAGTGGACATTGATTTTACCAGGAATAATCCTTTGGGCAGTGTTGTATTCTATGCAACTTGATTTTGCACTATTAACAACTCCTGCCAAAAGGATCGCAAACAGCAAGGTGATCGCCATAGAGCATAGAGCTGCAAAGGCCAAAGGGTAAAAGCAAACTGCAAAAGTCAACTTGGGTTTTCACTCTTTTCAATGGTCAGCTTAATTTTGTACTGCAAATTCCCCTTCTTTTTCTTTTTCTTGTTTAAACTCTTTTCAGGAAAGCAAAGAGTTTGCTTGCAAGGAAGGAGGCGTGTACAGGTGAAGCAGAGAGTATTTCCTACTGTCAAAGAGTGTCTCTGACCTTCTGATAATGACTCTAGTGTCTTTTTTCCTCATCTTATCCTTTTGGTAAGAGACATTATCATAGTCAAAAAACATCTGCCTAATTTGCAACAGACATTTCAGCATGTTGATGAGGCACTCCTATTCCTTTTCCTTGAATGTTCCAACACTTGATCACGTAACAATTGTAACTTGTTTGTTTATCTACTGCTGCTTAAAGACAATCAATTACCCAATAAAATAAAATTAAAATTAAACAAAAAAAAGACAAAGACAAAGCCTTATCCATCTACTCCTATTTGATGAACGTTCCCGAGTCATACATACACAGGGTAATAACTAAGTATGATTCGTAATAGAACTAATGCTGAAAATAGGGCAAAAGGTTATATACATATGTACACACAGTAGTCTATTGTAAGTCTTGATAACCCATTTTTAGGAGTAGGTTAGTTTCATTTTAAAATATCAAAAATTAAATTAATCAAATTTTTATAAAAAAAATAATCGATATTAATTAAACTATAATAAAAATTAAAAATAATCAAAATCAATTTATGTCAATCGTTTTAGTCAATTATTTTGATTTCAATACAGATGTTTTTAAAATATATTTTTAAAAATGTTAATAATATTTATATTTGTAAATTTTGGATATAAAAAATTAATAACAAAATATATTACTCTTTCTAAATTATTGATATTAAAATCGAAAATCAATACGAATTAACTTAATTAATATATTTGGATAGATTATTTTTGAAAATAATGATCCAATGGATTCATGCTGCCGGTTGACTTGTTGATAACAAACACGGCCTGCATTTTGCAAGGCCTTCCTCAAGCAACCCATAATATGTAAATAACCAATCAAACTTGGGCTACCTTATGGGCCTAAAACGACGGTGATATTAACCATTTGGTGTTTGGTTGCAAGGATATTTCTATCCTGATTCAGACCCCAAATCCCAGTACTACTACAACAAATTCTTCAAAAACCCTAGAAAATCCAAAACTTCCCCAAAATTTCAATCGATTCACCATGGAAGACAGCTTCAATGTCCGAGTCGGCAAAGCATTTGGCTCCCTCGCGTCAGCTTCTTCTTCAAAATCACAGTCTTTGAGCTCTCTTTGGAGCCTCACCGACCACGAAATCGAGAAACGAGAATGGAACCGAGACAAGGAGAGTCCAGAACGACCCGAGGAGGAGGAGGGGTTGCTCGAGAAGTTTCGACGGAAGAAGACGATTAATTTCTGTGCGGAGCCTGCGAAGGATCTCGATGACCTGGACGACGAGGATGAGGAGGACGAGGAAGAAGCACGTGCGTCGTCGACTTCGAGTAAGGGTGGTAAACCAGAGGATTATAATGATGAAGAGTGGGAGATTAAGTCTGCCATTGGAAGGGACTGTACTCTTGATTACGAGGTTACCTCTCTTTTTTTCATTTTTCTTTTAATGAAGTGAATATTCATGAAATGATTGTGATTGAGCTAGGTGTAGTGAAAGTTAAAACTTTTCTCAAGAAGCCGAAGTTAAATTTTTGAATTTCATACGGCTAGGAAAGAATCATGTAGAAGAAGTGAGTTGGGGTTATTTGAGTTACTATGATTTTACTTCCTTTATGTCGAAATTTAATTGAAAGAAGGAAATAGCAACAAATAAATTGCAAAATTAACCAATAACCAGAAAAGGTATATGACATTTTGACTTCCTGGAGTTATCATTTTGTCTCAGATCTTAGGGTTGATATAAGGTTGTAGGTTTATGTTCTCTTCTGACATTCTGGTGTTGATTTTTGCTTCTGGGGTACTTGTGCAGGAAGAGGAAGATCAGTATGATAAAGTGGCTGTTGGCAGGGAGAAGACCGGAGATCGCCTTTACATGAAGGATGTAAATGACTATGAGATAGATGCAGATTCTGGCAATGTGCTTCCAACTACGTGGAGGGATTTCAGTAGAGATCCCCGTGCCAATCACGTTGCCGCAAAACTCAGGCTCAAGGAAGATGCAGAAGCTGCTAAGAAAAGGCTTGAAGAAGATGCTGAAACCGCCAAAAAAATTGATTCGTTGCGGGTGTCTGATACTGATGGACCTGCTGGCATGGATGCTCATGTTAGCACATTTGAGGATGGGAACCTGAAATCCATTTTGAAGAGAAAGGATGATGCTGAGTCAAATCCAAAGCCACAGAAACGTGTCCGTTTTGATTCTGAATGTAAAAATAATTTCAATGAAGGGTCTGAAGGAGCCAAAGATGTCTCGAAGGAAGGTTGCTCGACGGAGGAAGAGGAAGCTATGGTATCCAACAAGGCCTCTACTTTGCCTCAGGAATTTCCCTCTGGAATTCCAGATTACTTGCGGAACCCTTCAAAATATACACGATATACTTTTGATTTGACTGATGTTGATGATGGATCAAATCGGCAAGCCTATATGGACTTTCTTAAGCTGATTAAGAGGTCAGATGCTACAGAACCACAGGCAGATGATGGTCCAAGTGATCTTACAAAACCTGTTACTTTTATACCAAAAAGGAAAACTAGTGATGTCATCATGGGAGAAAGTTGCACTGAGCCAAAACAGATCCGGGAAGATACTGAAAGGGAGTCCATGCATGGGAGAGGCTTACCTATTGGAATTGCAGCAGGGGATACCAATGATGGAGTTTGTGCAATGGAGGAAGATGAACCACAAACAATTATTGACAAGAGAAACTTCTCACAGAGATCAGGCCGTCAATATCGCATGAAACCTAGCTCAGAGTCCCATGATTAGTATTAGATCACCTAATGAAATTCTGACCTGTGTTTTTGTGGTTTATCTTTTTAGATGGATTATAAGCAACAGAGCAAGCATACATATCAGCAAGATAGCGCACTTTGTGTAAGACACAAGCAAATAAGATAAAAGAACATAGCTTTGCGTGGGTAAACAGTTTAACTTTGACTCAATCATATGATTCAATCTTTTCCTTTTATGTACTTCCCTGACTAAACACAAAGTTCTAATCCTCTGTATAGTTGTATGCCTCTGCTTAATAATAGCATCATCCTTTGAGATATTAGTGAATGTTTGCTGTCGTATGTCCTTAACGTAGTCTGGCAATGGAAGAACATCCACTAGAGCAGAACGTTTCCTGTTGTGGTATAATCAGCTTATAGCCGACCGTCATCCACCACAGGGAGCCCAAGTGGCTGCTTGAAAACAGGCATTTTCTGAAATTGGATCATCCTTAAACGGAACAGAATCTGGGTATAACACATTCCACAGTTACTTTTGATTTAGAAAAGGATCGCAATGCAGGACCAATTCCTGTAGTGGTGCAATTGGCTTATGGCAGACCAGCATCCACTGCAAGAAGTCTTGTTGGTTGCTCAAAAACAGAAATAAAGAGTTCGCATGACCTGCAACTGTATCATCCTGAAACGGAACAGAATCAGAGTTGACACATTCCACAGATACTTTTGATTCAGAAAAAGACAACCCTGTTCCAACATGCTTTATTGGAAGAACGCTAGGGGCAGCTTGTTCCCTGGCATTCCTCGCCGCAACCTACCTTAAGATGTTTTTGCTAACATCTTTGTTAGTTTCATAGCGTCTGTACCATCCCTTCCAATCAACAATGACAGGAAAATAAAATTGTCCTAGCACTATGATGAATGAGACCTAAATGTTGTCTCAATATAAGCTTAACAAGTTATAGGGGAAGGCAGATGCCAAAAATAATGATCTATATACACATCTCGAAACCTCCATACATAAATGTCTTACAATCCAATATCTATAGATAATACTGCATAAACTACTTGCTATTTCTTTTTCACCAATTCCCTTGAGCTATGATCTATCTATTAAAATAGATTATAAAGTGTATTTTTTCATTTTAGGGGCATCAAGATTTCTACACTTGCAACAAAAATTGGTATCAATAAGACAATAACATCCAGCAGCACCTCATCATACACTACCCTGGGAAACCAATATATTGTCCACCATTTGTCTGGAAAATAATGGCAAGAATCAGAGCCAATGCATACAATGGCGAATTCAACACCTAGAACAAGCGCTTTCTGCAATCTTCTGCTCCACAGTAGCAGGTCATCCGTTTTAACTTCCCATCAGGACCATAAACGCTATCAAGGGCATAACCATAGTCATAGGTAAGCTCCTACAAGCAAGAATATCAAAATAGTATCTAGTTATTCCAAACTCCAGCCAACATATCCAAGTAATGCAAGAGGGGAAAATATATATAAATCATACCAAGAGCCTATGGTTACTATCAATGATGTATGCGCCCAAAAGTTTAACTTGAGCTCCAAGCAAATTATCATAATATTGTCATGTAATATAAATAAAATTATGTTAAAATCCAGAAAATTGGTATCGAACAGCTTCCCAAGAAAATCCAAAGGTGCTCCTACAAATATCAAAGTGAGGAAAAATCACCTGCAAAGGGGGAATGTTGTCTGCTGCAAAGAGCATCACTCGAGCTAGTTTAAAATCCTGATGCGCACTCAGGACACACTGGATAAAGAGGTTAGGTTCACAGCTATGATTGATAAATCTTGCAACATTTCCAAAAGAACCAGCATCAATGCAGAACTCTGGCACACTCTCTGGCCTCTGTTCATCAATTTTGTCCATGTTCTGGATCATTGGCAAAGACGCATCTTGTTGCCGCCTCTGTCAAGGTAAACAAAAACATAATAATCATACATGCAAGCAAAAACAACCAATCTATGATTTCAGAGCAGTAAAACTGAATATAGCACAAATCAGGGAAACAGTGTTTTCATTAAAAACAGGTTTCCCATGAACTCCAATAAAGGTTGGGCCCCTTAAGTTATGTTAGTGGATTTAAACTTAACACTTAATGCCTTGCTTTATTTTCCTCCTAAATGGAAAGAACTCAACTATTTCCTTTCTCCTCTGTACCTCTTAAGAAACAGAAAAGTGAGAGGAATTTTAGCAAACATAAAATCAAAAGAAAGGGAGGATAAGCAACGGAACAAATGGAGAGGCATTCAGTAGAAGTAATCCTAGAAATTATGAATTATTGTACCTCAAGTGGTATTCCCACTAAAGGACATATCGATGTGATGTGAACTTTGCGCAGATATTACAACAACATACACTTCATAAGTCAGAATGACATTATATTTCAGCAGGGGCAGCTTTAAAAGAAACCTCTTGTAGTTTACTGGCACTAATATACCAAACTAAATACTCAACAACTTAAAATGCAAAGATAGATGTAATAATATTCTAAAGAGAATAACTATACCTCTCTTCCACCAAGCCCTCTCATAGTCTGCAAGCAATCAATGTCAAAAATGTAATTATTCTCAGACACATTATCCAGTTCTTCTGTCCTCAGGAGTACTCCAATGTATTCACAAACTGGGGCACCAGCAGGTATAAAATCCCAGGATCTAACTGCCCATCCTTTCTTCGGAGTACGGAAGACCTGCCAATTTACATCAGTCAAAGATTTTATTCAGCGATATTTCAACCATAATCCATCATAGGATCAAACAAAGAAATGAGTAGAGTAGTTTTTCTTGCAGTAATAAGAAACCTCCAGTCGGTATTTCAATCCTCTCTGAGATGTACGATTCACGCAATTAGCATTACAGCGACATTTTGGACCACATTCAAAAACAATATGCTTGGCTTCAATTAATCTGCAATTGAACAAGGGGAAGAGCAGTATTTAGCAAGAAACTTAAACAGTAAGAAAAAAAAGTATGGTATAAACAATTAAGCCTTCCTATTTCTAAATTTTACCTGCCGCCATCACGGTGCACATATGGAAAATCAGAACCATTAAGCCTGGCACAAGCACAAGTCTTGGGATCCCAGCAAACTCCCTTGCAATCACATCCAGCAGCATTAGTAGGGAGCTTTATATTTTGTGCAACTTTCATAGACTTGCAATATGTAAAACCTGAAAAACACAGGAACAGGCTGAAATATAGCAATTTATGTATGCACAACAAATGGGAGCTAATTCTTTTGTCTACTTCTCAGAATGTAAGAAATTGGAGAAAAGGGGTTAAATGATAAGTAAGAGTGAAGAAAAGAATATCATTAGCATAGCATAAGATGAGAAAATCAGCATATCATTGAACTGAGAAGATTGACCAGAAGCCAATGAACTCCCAAGTCATGAGAAGAAGCAGATCTCTTCTTGTGGAACTCATATTTACTCGTATAGCCAAAACTCTATGTCCAATAAATTATTGACTACATTGTGAAAAAAATCAAGTCATCATCACTTCAGATAACAAATTTGAAGTAAGCTTACCTGTCGGTGCAACAGGTGGATCATCAACCAGATTAGTTGCTGGAATGGGAACATCCTCCTGACCACCACTTATGTCCTCACACACCAACCTAAACCAATAAACAATAGAATTGGGAAAGACTAGAAACAAAAATTCAGCAAGCAATAATTTCTTATTCTGTCAAAACTAAATTCCTCAAATACCCGCGAATTTCTGAAGGACACTTGGGAACACGCCCATAGGTAAATTGAACCTGTCATAAGAGTGAACAATCATGATCTAAACTAATCAGATCTAACAGGAAATTTCAAATTCCCATAGTAAGAAGTTTTGCATCATTTGATTGAGATCTAAGCATCTTCTCATGACAACAAAGTGTTGCCATAATTTTGTCAGAAGTTCAAAATGCAACTTCAGAAAGAAACATTTATTCCACTAATTATCCCCTCTCCAGTAAAACCTCTTCCATACTCTATGTCAATGAATACATACATATATATATATATATATGTACACATTTTATTCTGATTTCAAAAGTCAATCATTGCCATGAATACGTAGTCCATTCCATCTACACATATCTAGCTTTATTTATTTAAAAAAAAATACACTGCAAGCTAGAAAATGGTTTTCATCAAACCTTGGATGCAGTTACCACATAGAAATTCATTCACATGGAAAGCATAACCGAATGATTAGCACCATCTTCAAAGAAATAACATTGTATCCAAAAATAAATGACCTATAGAATTTAAGTAATTAGTCATCAATCATAATACAACAGATAGTAAACCTGGCTAGTTGTTAATGTTGGCTGTCCTTCAAGCCGCCTCAATCTATATTTAAAAACAGTAAACCCAGAAATACCCTTCTCTGCCCAGTACTTAACAACCTGCAAAAGAGGAGCACATAATGCAATGCATTACGTCCTATTCAATCATATGCATAAAGCATCTAAAATTCCCAAATCAACAAAGACTGATATTTATTATCACCAAAATAAATATAAACTTAATAACCCATATAATAAGAGATGCTTTTCAGAATATTACAACTAAAATAATATTATCATCCAGTATTTATAAAATTAAAAAGATTTTACTAAAAAGACACATCTGGCATGATCAAAAAACACGAGACTAAAATGCCAAGCAGGTAAAAGACAAATCAAGCTGAAAACTGAAAAGTTTTTATAAGGCAAAACCAGACACTTCAAACTCAATTATTCAACCAGTGGCACATCAGATAAATACAGAATTTAACCGTCTCCAAAACCCAAGCTTAAGAATACATCTCAGATAAATTACCTTGTACAAGCCATCATATGTATAAATTTTTCCAGAGTAACTGCTAGCAGATTCATGACCACGAACTACTCTGACAGGCACTCCTTGGTCCACACAGTTCTGTAGTTAAAATCAGGTAAAAAGTAAGTCTACAACATCTAATTAGATCCCATACAAGACACTCCCCACATTCATATAACTGCAAATCAAACATGTCCCAGTAAACATGGATGTGTCTGTCTACAAACACTTTAAGGCAAACTTTTACCATTTCATCATCATGATCAGAACCTTTATTTTAATAATTGTCTCTCTCTTCAATCCAAGATAAACTCACAAAGCCATTTGACAAACTTAAAAAGTTTAAGATGCACAGAATCTAAAAACTGTTACCTAATCTTAAACTCAAGATATGACAGCTGCACTGTTTGAAAGCATATATGTAGATAGTGATTTAGCCAAATCAGATTGGAGGAAACTTGTACTTCACTAACAGCATTAAAAAATCACTAAAGTTAGAAAACTTGTATATTAAAGAACCACTATTTTTTTTTTTTGAGAAGTAAATGTTAATTTCATTACTTGATAAAATGTATATACAAAAACTACCCTTGTTGGTACTAGAACAGGATTCACCAGAGTAGAACTTTTTGGCAAGAACCCTGTTGAAGCGAACCTAGACAAAACAAAATCACCCAGGATACATGGTGCGATCAGGAATCACTAAAGTTAGGCAACGGCATTAACACTTTATGGGTAAGTGATGTACTTCACTAAAGTTTTCAAAGCATATGTGTAATTTTTTTCCTGCATCGATATTTCAAAACTGGAAGTCGAGTTTTCTCCAACCAGGGCAGAATGGAGGATGCAATTTTCCTAGCTGAGAGATCACATTATCTAGGAATTTATTTTATATGTTATGGGTTTAACTGTAACCTTTATCTATTTTTAAGATATTTTAGAATATTTAGGTTATTTTATGTTAACTAGTATTTTATTTCCTTTACAAATATTAGGTTTTAGGGTTTTATTTGGTATTTTACATTTTATTAGGTTTCAGGTTTGGTATAAACACCTATGTTTAGTTTTGATAAGATTTTGATGAATGATATTTTGACATTGAGATTTGAGTTTGTAAAACTGGAGATTTTCAAATTGTTCTTGAGTGTTACTCTTTTGGATTATTAGATCTACATCACAAAAATACACATACACACAAAAGACGAAGCATTTTCATAATCATACCACAACATAATTCTTTGTTTAAAAATTATATCCTGATTCCTGAGTAAGATTAGAAAATTTTGAATATGTTTAGTTTCCAAAGAGTAACAAATTCAATTAACAACCATCCAAGAAAGTAGACAATATGAATCAATATTACATTTAGAATTCACACCTTGAGTGCTAGATTACCACGTTCCATAACTTGATCCCGAATTTGACGTTTATTACCAGTTAGGTCATGTCCTCCTTGTCCAGTATAGACAACATCTTCAGCATTATCTAAATCATCCTCATACATGCCCGATAAAACTATAGCTACTCCAAGTGGGAATATATAGTGTTCATACTCCTGCAATTTTTCAACCACAAAAACGTAAAGCATAAATGAGATGGTTGTCGCATGAATATCATCAATACTCTATCATTTCTTTCTTTGATAAACAAAAATAATAGTAACCACTCAATCAGAAGACAACCTAATGAAGGACTCCCCAAGAGCATGCACAAAAAAACTTAATTTGGAAGACAAAAAAAGGCCATTTTAAAAATCTAATTGAAATATCAGGAACAACAAACGATTCTGACAAGAGATTACAGAGCTAATAAAACATGATTTCAACTCATTTTCACACATGTTTCCTGTAAGGGATGTTTTACCAAAAAAAAAAACTTCTAATGGTAGCCAACAGCACTTGATGGCAACAAAAAAACAAAGTAACAGCAACAACCCCCAGCACAAACTGGATTCTTTTTCATTTTTTGGGACGTTGAAAGGCATGTGAGTACAGTTACAATGGACAGTGTAGCAGGGGTGGAGCTAGCCAATTTTTATTGGGGCGACCCAAGGTTAAGAAGAATAAAGTTAAAAATTTTTAAAACTAATATATTGAACT